CCCCAAAACCCCAAAACCCCAAAACCCCAAAACCCCAAAAAAATTAAAATAGCTTGAAGTACTGAAATTATAAATTTTAACGAAGGAAACTCATGGATATAAGCTCTACTATCAACCTCAAGCTAGACACTGAAATAGACTTGACGAGTGAGCCCCAATTGGAAGAAAAGGAAGTGAAAGAAATCCTATCTCAGAGCTATACTGGTGTATTTTGATTCCTCTTTAAACAATCATGAAGGGATGTTAGAAGACATAAATGTCAATATTGACTTGGCTTTAGCTCAGTGTTCATCACAGTATTACTTACCCTTATCATTAACACTATTATGAGTAATGGGCCAATTATTTTCCTAAGGCTTGCAGAAGGGAACGTTGGAGAAATAGATGCCATCATCGAAGCCTCAGAGAATATGAAAAATACAAAAACATCATCCTCACTTATCAATCTAACCCACTTTAATCTTCTGTACCCTGAAGAATATCTGTTATCCCCTAGAAAAAGGGCATTCGTTGAATTTTACACACCAGAAAATCCTAGTGTTTATCCAAATTCTCCAGAAACAGGGTTGCTTACCTATACCAGCAGTCAACTCTCAGCAATGGAATTCAATTACTATAGAGAGCTTAAGCTTATTACTATCGACACTAGGCAAGAAAGGAAGAATGATTGTGGCCATAATTACAAGTTCAATACACTAAGTCTCGGAGAATGTGTAATCAACGATGATTTCTCTACTTCTTATAAATTGAAGAAGGGTGACAATATATTCCTATCCTTCAATATAAGCCAAGAGCTCAAGATTCTTTTTGATCATTTTAAGTTTCGGACCGGAATAAATCCAAGTCAAGAGCCATATTTTGATACAAATGTGATTGCTCCATGAAAGTTTGTTGGCAGTTTCACCAGCACAGGTGGTAAACTCCCCAACTCTGACGACTCCAAAGCCATCTTCATGGAACTCAAACACTTCTTCGAGTGGGTGGCTCCATATGTCGAAGTCGGCGATGAAGACCCGACAATGGCTCAGTTTAGAGAGTTTTTGAAAGGAAATCATTCAAGAGGGTATGACTTTGCAGACTACGTGGTGATGAACTTTCCGAGTCCTCGTACTGACTTCTACAAACATTCCAGTTATGACGATCTACAAGATAGTGTTATTGGTTATACAAATAAATTGAAGCATAAGTTAGGATTCTTCCCACAGTCGATAAAGACAGATCTTCTTGAAGAATTGCAAACTCTCAATCTAGGATTAATGTTCATTGGAATTATTTTCACAATAATATCTGTATTATTCGTCTCTGTCTCAGTGATCCTGATCTACAGCTTACTGATGGCAACTGTAGAGGAGAAGTCGATAGAGATCGGTATTTACAGGATTTTAGGTGTAAACAAACTTGGATTAGTCACAATGGTACTGCTTAAAGCTTTCTTCTTTACCTTACCAGCGCTCATCATGGGGTTTTGAATGAACTCCCTCATTCTTTGGATTCTATTCGAGTATGTTATTTTCATGGAAATTCTTAATAATTTATGCTTTAATTTTTAGTTCTTCTGCAGGAATTACTCCAAAGCCTGTTCCAACACTTGCAGCAAGCCTCTATGCTTTATTCATAGGACTCATCATCCCAGTGCTAAGTTCTCTCTACCCAATGAAGGTGATCTTATCAAAGACATTGACAGATGCTTTGAACTATTCCACTGCTAAGACAAAGGCAGTGCTTATCCAAATTATTTACTCTAATAATCTCAATAAGAAGCCTTATTTGGTTTTCGGATCTTTATCAGTAATTTACGGGTTATGCATTTATTACTTTCTGCCACTAGCATTTATTTCTCTCAATTTCTCTCTACTGATAACGATTTTCTTCCTGATCCTAGTCGGGATGTTTTTAGGCTTGACTCTGCTGGCATTGAATCTGCAGAGAATGCTTGAGGTTCTCTTCGTATATATCTTTCTTTCTTATGAACGCACATCTACCAGACTGATTGTTTTGAAGAATATGACCGCGCATAAACCGAGAAATCGAACAACTATTCTGATATATGCAATTAGTGTTGGTTTCATTATCATGATCGTTGTATCATTTAATTTAGAAATACAAAGTACAGCAGCTTTATCCCAACTTGCTCAAGGGCATTATCTTTATGCAGAGACAATAGAAAACGAAGGATTCTCCTCTTTAGCTATAGAAAATCTGATCAGAAAATCGAAGGATAAAATTGAATATCTTGGATATGAAACACATAAATCCAAGGATACTGCATTAAATTTAAAGGAGAAAAGATTATTTGCAAATGACCGTCTTTCTTTGATTAATTTGAATATTGAGTTGACTGGGGTTACTCCATTCTTCGGTCACACTCTCATGAACAAGTATCTCAAAATGGATGCCCACAACACTTCTACATCACTGAGCATTGTCGAGCAGCTGTACACTCCCAGAGGCATGCAAGCAGTCGGTATGCCTGGCCATGTCAAAAACAAACTTGGACTTGATCCTACCAGCTTCACAAACACACTCAGGATCAACTTGCACACTTCACACTGGAACGTGCACTCCACTCTGAGATGCCTCTGGAGCACTGAGTCGTTTCCTGGCAAGCAAATGACTGCACGAGTCAACTCCAATGGCTATGACACAGTGGTGAGTGTCCCCAGTTTCAAGCGGTTGGTGGGTTCGACTCAAAGCATCAAGCATATGCAGTTTCGGAGAATGGCTATTCAGCTTAAAGAACCTGACAACGTCGCTCACATCAAAGAAATCAGAGATGCTCTGCAAGGGTCTGCTCTGGTCAGCTTGTCGACAGTGTATGACCACTTGACTGACGCAGATAGCCTGGGTGTGGCAACCAGTCTGCTCAGCTTGATCTTCAACCTCGTCATTGTGTCGGTGATGGTGCTGTTTTACTTCGCACTCACTTCGTCGATGTCAGCTAACATGATGGAGCAGAAAACTGAAATCGGAGTCTTAAGAGCCATCGGCATCACCAAGTTCAGAATGTACTTTCTGTACATTTATGAGTGATTCATCATGGTATTCACTGGCTGCATTACCGGAGTGTTAGTTGGAACACTGATTGGCTGGACAATGACACTACAGCGAGTGCTGTTTACAGACATACCATTACCATTTTACTTTCCATGGACACAAGTGATCATAATATTTGTAATGTCAGTAATATGAGCAGTAGTGGCCACAGTGTTGCCAGCAAGGCAAATTCTGAGAAAGGAAATAGCTCAAATATTTAGGTAATAAAACTTAACTTCCAATAAATTAACCTATTGTTTCAAATATATCTTATTTCTCGGGGTTTTGGGGTTTTGGGGTTTTGGGGTTTTGGGG